GATCTTTTAACCTCATCTTGTCACATTAGTTTTAAATATGCACCCTAAATTGGTGTTGAAAAGTAATAATTAGTATTCACTGTCCCATAATGATTTTAATAATGAAGTTTACCTGAACCCACTTTTCCTCATTTTGTCATTGGTCTTTCTGTTTCTACAGTCTTCTTGTCACCTCCCTTCTACATCTTTGTCTGGTGGAATAATTTCAAACAGTTTTTCATATTTTTATTCCTATTCCCAACATCATTATTAACATTTTCAGTCAAATGTGATTTCCTTGAGAATTGCAAAGTGTTGTGTTATACTGGATTATAATTAAAAGACTTACAATATTAAGAGGTCCTCTACAACTATATAAGATATGGATTCTATAGATATAACTTTTTTCATTTTGTAAATGGATTTTTTAATGTATAGCCACATGTTATATTTTATATGTTAATGACAAATATTGAATGTGGAGAAAGAAATATTATGCTTTTGAAAATAATGTTATCTGCTTATTCTTTGGCTGTAATATAGCTGGCAGGAAACATTTGGGGCTGTCTATGTGTGTTTTTTAAAATGTCATCTTTATTAGTATTACATTCAAGGAATAGTACCAAGAATCAGTTTCTTTCAAGACCTTCCTCCAGTGTGTGGCATATAAGTCTGTGACGAGCGACATTACAGAAGGTCATGTCACTTTTAACTGCTTGCATTACATCTTTCTGATTTCCCTAGTGCCCTTCCTTTGTTTGATTAATACTACTTGCTTTCAAGCAAGGTATCAGAAAGCATAATTTGAACAGAGAATTCTAGAGTCGATCTGAGATATTCCCCCTTAAGAAAAAAAAAAAAGGAAAAAGAAAAAAAAAACCCAACTTTGTAAATGTATCTTTTCTATCACATGCATTTTTAGTCACTCTTTTCATTTTCTTCCCTCAAGGAAATCCTTCGTATATATTGTTATGAAATTATTGCCTACAAATGTTTGGGCAACTGGACTTTGAAAACAAAACTACATAGCGCTTATCTGGTTTTATTTGAAGAAGAAAGAGCTGAAATTTGAGACTAGGACTCCTTTATTTGTTTCCTTAGTTAAGTGTTAAACTCCAGCACTCTCATTCTAAATAGCAGGTGTTATTTGAGTTCTCTGGAAAGGGCTGCAATTTTGTGCAGTCATTAAACGCACTTCGGTGATATATGCAGTTTGTTTTTAAAAGCTCAGTTTGCAGTTTCTATGTTCATTGCATTTGACTGGAGCTCATGTCCTAAAGCACAGCTCAGCTTCTGAGACACTCCCGTCCTCAGAGCCATCCATTTCATTGGACCATTAAAGCCTGAAAATCAGTTGTAAAAGCATCATCATTTTAATTTAGGATCTTTATCTACACCTCTGCCTGTGGCCCTGTATGTATTTCTTAGGGAAAAAACATGAATCAGAATTTTGTATGTCATTAAGAACACAGGATATTTTGCTCAGAAAAAAATATATAATTTAATTTCCAAAAATTAATGTTTAAAATATTAAATTGATGCTATTTTATTTTTATTAACAGGTAACATGTTTGAGTACTTACTTGGAGACAGGAACTGTATTAAGCACTTGGTGTACATTATCTCGCTGGATCCTTAATCAACACTGTGGGATAGGTGCTATTATCATCTCCATTTTCTAAAGCACCTTAAGCTTCACCTGAGCAAAATGTGGTAGTGGGAGACATTCTGAAGCAGCTTAAAGGCATCAATAGGAAACCATCAGTATTATAAATCCTCACTTGTAGGTGTTTATGATGTAACATTAAAAAGCCACTGGAGGAGGGGAAAGCCCTCACTAGGGCGCTACAACATGACACAAAGGCCTCTCACTAACAACACTTTTCTGCCAAATGTAAAAGCAAATGGTTGTATTGGGTGGTTCTGGCTGCACATTTGTGGAGTAATTGTGCGTAGCCAATTACCCACTTGTGCAGGGTAGGAACAGTTTGGGTTTTGCAAATGATGAGCCTGATTGTGTAGACCTCTCTGAGCCATACTTGAACATAAGATCCACAGCCGATTGGTGAAATGTGTAGAGTAAGCTAGTGGCTTGGTTTATGGCTCAATCATATTTTGAATTTTTGAACAATTTATTTGAAGATAGTGGAGATCTCCCAACTTTAAAGGTTAAATATTCATGGGTTCTATTACCAGGCAAATGTTTGAAAACATTTTGAATATTTTCTTTCATTAATCTGCATCATTGGTTAGGTATAAGTCTTTCCAGGTGAACTAAGTCAGCTTTGAGATAAATAATAGTCACTTATCCATTCTGCCTTTAAAGCATCTACAGAGCCAAGCGTGGTGGGTCACAACTGTAATCCCAGCACTTTGGGAGGTAAAAGCGAGCGGATTGCCTGAGTTTAGGAGTTTGAGACCAGCCTGGGCAACGTGGCAAGACATTGTCTCCACAGTAAATCAAAAAATTAACTGGGTGTGGTGATGTGCACCTGTGGTTCCAGCTACTTGGAAGGCTGAGGTGGAAGGGATCACCTGAGCCCAGCAGGTTGAGGCTGCGGTAGCCGTGAGTGTGCCATTGCATTCCAGACTGGGTGACAGAGTGAGACTCCAACTCAAAAAATAAATAACTAAACAAACAAGCAAACAAAGAAATCCCCTTTAACAAGTGCTGCAGAGAGGTTGCAAGTAGTACATTTTTTTTTTTTTTTTTTTTT